AGTAGTGGCGAGTAAAACAAATACTTGGCACAAATCTGCTGCCCATTAGGAGAGAGGGATTTGTAATCCTTGCTTACATTCCTGCAAAGGTGTTTCAGGGACAGGGAGATGGGCAAAGAAATTAAATTTCCATACCCAACCCACACTGGAACCCGGGTGTCCCTGTCACATTTGACTCATCTACGAGGTGAAGAGTATTTGTTATAATTTTCCTACTCCAATCACACCTTAAAAACAAAATATTAATGTTCTGCTGTGGCAATGAACACCTTAAATACGAATTAGCAGCTAATTCAGCTTCAGTTTAAATATCAGGAAACCAGTGATTTCAAAGTTTGATACTTGAGCCACATTCACACAATTCCTGAAAGATTATTTTCATCACTACCTAAATGCAAAAGCTGCCAATATTAGGTCTCCAAAATAAAAAAAAAAAAAAAAAAGAAAGAGGGTGTTTTCTGCCCAAAGAGATGCATTTAAAAGACCTACATTTATTTTAACATCCATGCTTAAATTTATTAGTAAAAAAAATCAACTTCTTTTAACATGCAGCACCTGCTCAGGGAGGGGAATTTCCTGAGGAGAAAAAAAAAGTCAATTGTTTGCATGATCTGAGGTGTTTTCAAGAGAGTAAAAGTGCTCCTTCCAGTGACAGCTTTGGGCCACAATCCCCCAGGGCAGCCTTGGAAAAATCTCAGCTTTACACAGCAATTGGCAGGAAAATTCTCCTTCTCTGTCAAGTCTCTCTTGGATACCCTTAAATTTGGAACGTGCCTGTAATGCCCTGGATCTGAGAGAGATGATGCTGAGGCACCACAGGACTCAGAGGAGGAAAAAAAGCACTTTATTTAGGAGACAACTCCCCTCCCTTGGACTTCAGAATATGTATTTTCCAGTTTAACTCTCTACTGATCACCAAAACCAACCCCCAAACCTGGCTAAGTCCAGCAGGAAGCTTTGCCTCACTTAAAATCCTGGAATGGTTTGGGTTGGAAGGACCTTAAAAAGCTCATCCAGATCCAACCCCCCCTACCATGGGAAGGGAACCTTCCACTAGAGCAGTTTGCTCAGTTTAATTCCATTAATTTCCATGTAATTGCATTGATTTTCATATAATTCACCAGCCAGGAGATCCAGGGAAATAACAGGTTCAATGTACATCCCAAGTCTCCAACTATCTCCATCCTGGTGGAAAATAAACTAGTTAAAGCTCTGCTAAGAGTTACAAAACTAAATAATATATTATATTAATAATAATAATCAACTTCAAAGTATTTTAAAAACCAAGTGCACAAAAAAATGAAAAAGCTTGGGAAGATTTAACACCCTCCCCTTCCCAAGACACGTGGTGTAATTTGAATTCTCACAGAAACCCTTGAAGTTAATTCAGAAAAAGCCCAGACTGAGGAAAAGGTGACAAAGTCAGTACTGATGGACCCCTTGGACCCCTCGACAGCAATTCCCAAAAAATGGAACATCAGCAGGAGTAGAAATGGGCTGTGAAGGAGAAAAGACTTCAGGAATTCTTAGTAAGTACAGGTGGATATTCAGCTATTTTTATCTTGAAGAGTTGTTTATTTCCTTTATAACTTTGTCCTGTTTAAAAAAAAAAATATAATTTTTTACAGATCTGTAAAGTAGAACTGACTGATTTTTATAAAAGTGGGTCAAGGAAGTGATTTTTCACTTCCTATTAATGGCTAATGTTGAATATCCTGAGTATCTTCTTCCCCAGACCACATAAAACCCTGGAGGGTGTTCCAGGAATCCACCTCACCTGCACACTGAGCTGGACTCTCCCCACTCCAATGTGCATTCCCAGGTCCTGACACTGCTCCTGCTTCCCCTGGGAGGATTTGGTGTGTCTGGAACTGGAGTTCTCCAAATAAAAGTTATTTGGAGTTCTCCAAATAACTATTCCCTGCAGCCCCCTCTCTCAATCACTTCTCCCTTTCGAGAGCCCAGGAAATTTGGGGGATATCTGGGGGATATCTGGGGAATATTGAAATAAAGAGGATGCCAAGGGGTGATAAATATTTAGGGACACTGGAGCTGGGAGGTAGAGGAGGAGCAGAGGTTGGAGGGGGCTTGGAGTAACCTGGGTTGGTGGAACTGGATGAGTTTTAAGGTCCCTCCCAACCCAAACCAATCCAAGATTCCATGATCCCCTCACATAGTGTTTATTAAGTAGTTCATCTGCTGCAGGGAATGAGCTGAGCTCCTTTCCATGTCCCAAAGATCCCCTGGAGAAATGGCTCCTGTTCATCCCTGCCCCATATCCTCGCAACACTCCTTATTTTCTTCTCCTGGTCTGGTTTCCCTGTGGAAGAACCCAAAACCTGATGCCACCCAAGCCAGAAACTGTCATCCAAAGTCTCAACTTCAGCCCCCAAAATTAGTGGAACTTCACCCCTCTGGCTCAGCTCCCTGTTTGTCCAAGGAGAGCCACACCAGCTCCTCGCTCCGAGGAAGCCCTTTGGAAAAGACTTGAATGTTTATAAATTGCTTCTACTCCAACAGAAGGATGAGGAAATTAGTAATTCTGTCTTGGAACAAGAATTTTTATCAGCTCCCATGTGTACACAACAAGACTTCACATCCTAAAATGCAGAACTGGCAGGATCAAGCCCTGTTTTGAAGGACACCAGGAGCTGGAGTGTAGGACAGTCCCGGCCCAACACCAGGGTCTGAAGCAGAGGCACAGAATGGTTTGGGTTGGAAGGGATTTTAAGGATCATCCAGTCCCACCCCCTGCCATGGGCAGGGACACCTTCCACCAGCCCAGGTTGCTCCAACCAGGCCTTGGGCACTTCCAGGGATCTGGGGGCAGCCACAGCTTCTCTGGGAATTCCATCCCAGCCAAGAATTCCTTCCCAATATCCCATCTAACCCTGCCCTCTGGCAGTTGAAATCCATTCCCCCTTGTCCTGTTGCTCCAAGCCCTTGTAAAAAAAGTCCCTCTCCCTTCCTTTTTAGAGGCTCCTGGAAAGGGCTCCGAGGGTCCCTGGAGCCTTCTCTCCTCCAGGCTGAAGGAACAGGCCCACGGTGGAGATCTCCTGCCCTCTCTGAGTGTGCTCCACCTGGCAGCTCCCCAGGAGAACCAGCAGGTCCTCTGGGGAGGCAGTGACACCCCAAGTGCCCCAGGGGGAGATGCTCCAAGAAAGGTTTAGGGTTTCACACCTGGAGTCACCTCAGCAGGTTTGCAGAGGTCAAGAAAGCCAGCACGACCCCAAGGAGGTCAATAAAGCCCTCACAACCCCAAGGAGGTCAATAAAGCTCTCACGACCCCAGGGAGAAGAGAAACTGGAATAGGTTATTTCAACTCACAAGCTCATTTTTAAAGGGTTCAGGGTTTACATATTTAACAGGGGGTTTATGTATTCATGGTATTAAAATTGAGGGGTTTCACAAGGATGAGGTAAAGGGGAAAACCAGGTTAAGGCATTTTTGGGGTCTTAGGCATTGGGAAAAACCCTATTTCATCTTGGGGGATTTACAGGGGGGATTAGGTATTGGATGTCCCTGTGCAAAGGGTTACAGAGTGTGCACATGCAAGGGGGGAACACGATGGGTTTTAGGCAGAGGTCTGAGGAGACCAGGCTGTGGATTCTCTGGGCAGGGCCTGTGATAACATCGTGGAAGGAGTTTCTTTCCATCCTGCTGAAGAAGGCAGGGAGAATCCCCAGAGATGAGGTCAGGGAAAAGGGGTTTTCCCAGCTTCTGTTCCCCGTGGCCTTCTGCAGAGACCACTCCAATTTCTTTCTGCAGATACAATATTTTGGAACCCAGCACAGGTTGGTCCAGCTGCTCCTCACCCGCAGCCGGTGACAGGGACGAGGAGGAGCCTGTTGCTAATTGTTCTTTTGATTACCACAGGCACAGCAGTTGCTTAGCAACACTCCTCAGTCCTTGGGAGAGGCAGCACCACTTCCCTCCAGGAGCAAAAGCAGCCCGAGCAGAGGGTGCGACCCACGGCACCTTCCTCAGGATAATTCACATTTGTTGGGCTTCCCATAAACCACACCTGGAACGTCCTGAGGTGGGGCTGGGAGAGCTGGGGGGGTTCACCTGGAGAAGAGAAGGCTCCAGGGACACCTCAGAGCCCTTTCCAGGGACTAAAGGGCTCCAGGAGAGCTGGAGAGGGACTGGGGACAAGGGATGGAGGGACAGCACACAGGGAATGGTTTCAAACTGCCAGAGGGCAGGATGGGATGGGATATTGGGAAGGAATTCCTGGCTGGGAGGGTGGGGAGGGGCTGGGATGGAATTCCCAGAGAAGCTGTGGCTGCCCCTGGATCCCTGGAAGTGTCCAAGGCCAGGATGGACAGGGCTTGGAGCAACCTGGGCTGGTGGAAGGTGTCCCTGCCCATGGCAGGGGTGGCACTGGATGATCCTTAAAATCCTTTCCAACCCAAACCATTCTGTGATTCCAACTTCAGTCTGAGCCTACAGATAAAGCAGATGATTGTGCTGGATGAGCTTTAAAATGCCTTCCAACCCAAACCATTCCAGAATTCCACGATTCCAAGGGCATCACAAATCAAACCCGGATCGGAAACACACCTGGGTCTCTCCCAGGGCACACGTGGTTATTAATAAAGAGGAGAGAAAAAGAACCTTTCCTGCCAATCAGCAACGGCAGATTAAGTTCAAATTTTATCAGTCAACGGCCTGAGTAATTTGGAAAATAGTTGTGTGAAAAATGACACAGCAAAGTAATATTGTTTGTGTTGGAGAAAGGAATTCTGCAGCCCTGGGATCGGGGCTACGGCAACACAGCGACTGAAAACTACCAAAAAGCTGACACCACACGGAATAAATGACACAAAATACTCCAAGCAGAACACACAGGGCCACCAAGAGCCACACAGCACCTTGCTGGGATCACACAGGTTCCAGGTGTACTCCCAAAAAGCACAAGAAAGACCAAATCCGAGTCATTTCTGTGGATTTTAAAGGAGCAGCAGCTGAAGGGTTTGAAGGAAACAGCTCCCACTCACCATCCTCTCCTGTGGCGCTCCGAGTGCTTGGAGATCTTGTAGGGAAGAGCCCTTTCCCCCAGGTTTTCCAGCTTCCTCACCACAGCTCCTCTCTCCATGAGAGCCTCCACGGTGCGTTTCAGCACAGCTGCTGTTTCAGGCTTGAAGAGAAAGGGAAAAAAAATGGGAAATGTCCATAAATCTGGTTATTCTTCTGATGTGAGAGGAGGGACAGGAGCACTTGCACAGCTCAGCACCAGGAGAGATGGGTCTGCAACCCGAGAGGGCAAAGTGGGAGCAGCAGCACCTCCTCCTAAGGAAGAGAATTTTTAGGGATAATTCCTTTGTGAATTATGGCCACAGGAAAGTTTCCAGAAATGTCAACATCAGGCCCCAGCAGAGTAGGAAGCAGAAAACAGTTAATGGATGGAACTAACCTGGTGTCACTCTGGGTGAGCTTTGGAAAGAAGGGTGGAAGGAAAGAATAGTTTTGGGGTTCCTGGACCATTGTTGCTCATTAGGATTGTTCACCAGAATATTTAAAGAGAACAGAGTGGGGAAAACATGGATCTGTGGTGTGATCCAGAGAGAACAAACAGCACCATGGTCATTTGACACTGTCACTTCAGCTGCACACTCAGAGAATCATGGAATATCCTGAGCTGGGAGGGACCCCCAAAGCTCATCCAGTCCAAGCCCTGGCCCTGCCCAGGACACCCCAACACTCCCCCCTGTCCCTCAGAGCATTGTCCAAACCCTCCTGGAGCTCTGGCAGCCTCGGGGCCGTGCCCACTGCCCTGGGGAGCCTGGGCAGTGCCCACCACCCTCTGGGGGAAGAACCTTGTCCTGAGATCCACCCTGAGCCTGCCCTGTCCCAGCTCCAGCCCCTCCCTGGCTCCTGTCCCTGCTCCCAGAGGTCGGAGCTGCCCCTCGGGAGGAGCTGCAGCCCCCGCTGAGCTCTGCCCTGGGGCTCCTCTGCTCCAGCTGCACCAGCCAAGTGCCCTCAGCTGCTCCTCAAGGGCCCCTCCAGGCCCTTCCCCATCCCTGTGTCCTTCCTTTGGGTGCTCTCCAACAGCTTTAGATCCTTTTTATATTCTGGCACCCAAAACACCCTCAGAACTCAAGGTGAGGCTGCCCCAGTGCAGGGCAGAGCAGGACAATCCCCTCCCTCACTGCTGTGCCTGATGCCCCCCAGGACACCCTTGGCCAACATGGCACAGCTGATTCATGTTCCTATGGCACCTTGGCTAAATCCCTACTCCCTAAATCCCCCTCCTTTCTCCCAGCCAACATCCACACCTTTGGAAGGTCCCAGAAGCCAGTACACAGCAATTAGTCTGACATGCAGAGATTTCACTCCTCAGAAAAACAAGTTTGAGGGACAGGCAGCCAAAAAACACGGAGGAGAAAACAGCTGCAGTGTTCTCTGGCTCACTGGGTGGCAGGGGGGGCTCTGCTGAGCACTGAATCACTGGGGTACTGACACCCAACAATATCCAGGAGAACGTGCACAAAGCACAAGGGAGAATGTTTGGAAAACAACTGCAAGGCTGACACACTCTCAGCAACAAGAATTATTTTAAGAATCATAGAATCATAGAATTCCTGGGTTGGAAGGGATCTCCGAGATCATCCAGTCCAACCCTTGATCCAACCCCGCTGTGGTTCCCAGCCCATGGCACTGATGCCACATCCAGTCTGTCCTTAAACACCTCCAGGGATGGAGAATCCACCCC